TCCTCTCCTCTCCTCCCCTCCCCTCCCCTCCCTTCCTCTCCTCTCCCTGCTAAAACACTAGACTATCTTGTGTCCCAGCCATCAGAGACTCTTGCATGAGACACTAGAAATGATTTCAGGAGCAAGAACTCAGGCAGGCAGTTTAACGTCAGCCCTGATATACGCCCCCGTGGGGCAGCACGGATGTGCTGGTCTCAGCAAACCATCCTTGTGGCCTCCTTGAGCTTATCCTGGTTCACAGCTGCTTCCCTCATTTCTCCTCCCCTTGTTTTCTGATCCCTGTTCCCTAGCTTTCACTCCTATCCCTGTCACATCTCTTTTCTGCCTAGGGCCACCAGAGCTGGGGCTCTATGGTTTGCTCTTAAGATATGTGGCCAGCACTTTTTCATTTCTCTCTCCCTCCTAGGTGAAGGTATTCTGTAGTTCTCCTCTTGCCTGACCATCTCCACCTATGCTCTCACCTTTGGAAAATTCACTTATTTCTCAGGTATCATTCATTCCTTTGTGACCATTTCTCCTGGTCTTTTTTTCTGGCTCCTCTTTCCCTCCTGAGGACTGGTTTAATCTCCCATTATCAAGTGTCCATCCCCTGGATGACATTTTGACATCAAATTTAGCAGGACTGACCCAGGCTCATTAACTTTTATTCTGATAATCATTCTCTCTCTTCCTGCCAGGATGCTCTTAATATAAAACTTCAATCTCTTCCATCCCTTACATCCTTGGCCAAATGAATGGTCCTGTGTTCTGTTTATTTTTCCTGCCCTGCAACTCATACACTTCCTTTTCCTCCTACTTTGTTCTTGTCTGAACAACTGCCCTATGTCTCCTATGTCTAGCTGTTTCCTGAATCAACTTGACACATTTGCTTAGAGTACATACCATCTCACCTACCCTTTCCTGTCGCTCCAGCGCCCCTGGGTTAGTGTGGAAACTCTCCCAGTTGACCATTCACAGTCCCATTCTAACTTACCTCCTACTCACTTTTCTACTGTGTAGGGGTTAAAAACCATTGCACGATCCCTTGTGGCATCCTATGCTTTCCTGAACCTTCATATCTCCTCTCCAGAGATTTTCTGTATCTGGGGTGTCTTTCTCTCTAGTTCAATCTAAGTAACAACTAGGGTGCCATTTCCTCTATGAGGTCTATGTTGTCCCCTGGGAAAGGATTGCTCCACCTTCAGTATGCACCAGGATTACATGGCCACTCTGCTGAAACGCAGACTCCGGCTCAGTCATTCTCAGTGATAGTCTGAGAGGTCTGAGACGGCCTGAGAGTCTTCCTCACACATTCTCCAAGTGTCACATGGAATAGCAAAGTCCTAGAGCAGTGGTTCTCAATCTGTGGGTCGTGACCCCTTTGCTGGTCGGTAAGACCTCAGTTTGCAGCAAGTTCCTGCCTCTGCTTCCTGAGTGCTGTTAACGTAGGTGTGCACCACCATTGCCAGTCACCAGGCAGAATCTTTACCCACATACAATATGCTCTGATTTTTCAAGGATTCATTTTGTCTCTCCACAAACAGGGATTGACTTTGATGGTTTAATACAGTGACGGAGAATTTATTCTAATTAAATTGGATATGCTCCCAATATCTCCCCTTTTGAGCTCTACTCCCCAGTTACTCGTACATCTCAGGTCAGCTGCATCTCCCACGGATGAACTTACAGGAGAAAGAATGCTGCCCTGGGATCTGCTGCATGTGAGGATGGCCCAACATGTCCAAGATGATGCCAGCAGAACCGCGTGACCACAGCTTTGGGTTGCACAAAAGAGGCGCCCACTCTAGTTCTGACAGAAAAGGAATGTGTAGAAGTATATTAGACAGATCACAGGGTTGTTGAGAGCCGTAGACTGCTCTGTACAGCAAGGCACAAATTACCCAGCATACTCCACGGTCACACCCTGTGGGCGGGGGCTACAGCTCACCGTGACTAGAAGATGGCCGTCCTGCAATCCCAGCTTCTTATCAGTTTGTGAAAAGTCTGGTGCCCTCCAGCTCCCTTAATGACTGGATTCTGTGCAGGGCCAACTTCTTTGGGGTGGTATTAATTATCAGTGTGTAACAAATGGCCACAAACACCGTGCCTGAAAACATCTACAGTGCATTCTTTCTTAGTTCTGGAGACCACAGTTGCCAGATCAGGATTCATTGGGCTGAAATCAAGGCTTTTGTAAGACACTAGGAGAGAATCCAACCCTTCTGGTCTAGCTTCAGGTGACCACTGATTTTCCTTTGCTGATGGCTACATTTCTAGAACCCTCCAATACCATGTGAATAAAGCCTCTTTATTCTGTCTTTATGTTGCTTTGTCATCCTGTGTCCTCAACCGTCCCTCTGCCCCCTGCCTAGAGTCCAACGGGATAATGTTCCACCTTATCATCTTTATCACATTAGCCAAAATGTCCTATAAAGTGACATTTGTGTATCTCTGGAGATGGTTACTTACCCTCCAGTGTTGTTCACTTCTGGATTGAGGTTTCAAGAGTGGACATCTCGCTTGTGGGTCCTAGGTCATGTGTACTCTTGAGCCACAAGTCATCCTGGGAAGTGGAAAGTGCTTGGAGATAGAAGGTCACACCCCACCCCTCTCCTGTTATGTCAGATAGCAACTACAACCGGCTCCAAAGCTTTATAAAAACAAACTTCTATATCATGAACTATCTAGTTTTCTTTGACTTTTGGTTAACGGAAAAACAAAGCAAAACACCAAGTATGAGGTACAAACATGGAGAAGGGTTCTTTGATGACAGGAAAGTCTGTTCCCAGATCCTAAGAGGGAAATTAGTAGGTTTTCAATTCAGTAAGAATAACATTTAATTATAATGTCATTTCCTCTCATGTCTCACTCTGATGCCACACATTGCTCGAAAGATTTATGATGGTCAGAAGTCGGGCAGTAAGAAAACAAGTGTGTTTCTTCAATTTCCTTTTCAAACAAACTAAAGAGGACCCCTCTTATAGACCTGACTCCTTTCCCAATTCCCACCTGCTTCTTTATGTTAGCGATGATTTTTTTTCCAGTTTCTCTCGCCTTGAAGTAACAGGTAATATTTATTTTCCTGATCATTTTGCTAGACAAAGACCCATCAGATAATCTTTAGGGACTGACAGGTCTCATCGGTGACATGGCGGTGAGGGTGGGCATTTACAAGGTCCAGCCGTGTCCTTCCTGGGGGGGGGAGGTAATGCTGCATTTGAGTGTGCTTGTGTGTATTTAAAGATGAACGAGAACCATGTGAAAAAGATTATGGAGGTCAGCACTCACACCAACTGCATCAACGGCAGTCTAAGCACTTTCGGTTCTTGTGTGTGAATAACCTCCCGAGAGCATTAGTTTTTGCTTTTTATTGTTGACATCTTTCTGTTGATTTCTGAGACACTGAAAAGTCAGTCTGCTCCTTTGAGTGTTTTTGTGGATCTGGCAGCGTCATAAAAAAACTCTCTTTTAAAAGGCTCAGAAAGCTTTAGAATACAGTGGGGGAAAAATTGATGTTGAGTAAGAAAATGATTTTTTTTTCCCTCTGAAATTGGATGTGTCTTACAGTTTTGTTGAGGGGTTTCCTCTGGGACAGGCCTACGGTGATTGATTGGCAATAATTCCAGCAGCCCCAAGCACTAGCTGAGAGCTTGGGGCAGACTCCCGGCCCCTCCGATGCTCCTCTTCACATTAGAAGATGAAGTAAACTCCAGGTCGCCCTCCTGTTTCCCAGCACCAGCTTCATCACACTGTCTCAGAATCGTCCAGTTCTGTGCTGTCCCTCCTTTGGTTTTCCAGCCATTCTGTTTATATCCAACACTCACAGAATCTTTTGTTACCAAACTCGGATTCAAGTGACCTTTTTGGTAGGGGGAGGAAGGAAGAGGGAGGCCTATAGGGGTTTTTGGAAGCCTTACTCTGAATTGATTCTTTTGCTTCAGTATAATGTTGGTATTTGATCAAACATAAAAAGCTTGAAGCTTTAACGTCCTGCTGACACCAGTATCAACAAAGCAGCGAAGTGGAAGCTTTTTGGCAGCTGATTAGAGGGAGATTTTATGTCACTAGGTTTAAGACTAAGGATACCTTTTAGTGGCTTTTTCTCAAGGATAAGCTACATCACGCAGCATAAATCAAATTCAAGAGCTTTATTAAAGGACCCTTGGTAATTTGGTAATATATTATCACTCAGTTTTGGAAAGGCGATAAATGACCGCATTTTATAGTGTAATTTAAAATAATAATATGGATTACAGTTGTGTTCGGTCATGAAAGTATAATTTAACAGTTTGAGTTGGTAATAACCTTTTCCTCCCTCGACAGTGTCCACTCTTATTTCAGTTCAAAAATGGTTTACTGGGGCATGATTTGCCATGCTTGCATTTAGAGTCCAGTAGGGCTGAACATGTGTTTAATTGGAATTTTATGTTGTGTTGGAAAAGCTTCACACACAAAAAAAATGAAACACCCTCCCAGAGAATCCAAACTCCTAAACAGTAAGCATTCCAATATCCAAAGTGGGGTCCATGCTTGTCATTAGGACTCCACAGGAGAAGCTTGCTCCCCGGGAGTGGTAATTGAATAATGAAGGTATGAGATTAAAGTTCAGCTCCATCTCCGGGCAATGGGGAACTTTCCCCATCCCAGGCCTGAAGGAGCATAGGCCTGGAAATCCTGTAGCTTTGCAACCGTGGAGAGACAAGTGACAGGCAGAAGGCCCAGGGAAAGAAGATGGCCTCCACAGGGCTGCAGAGGGTGAGGAAGGGGTCACAAATTCCACAGCCCCAGCTCTGCCTCCCTGGATCATGGTTGAGTCTTCTTTCCTAGTCTCCACTGAGCTGGATCTAACTGAACCTTCAGGACAAGGACATCTAAGTGAGATGGCTGAGGCTCATAGGATAGTAGGCTATTGAACTATGGCTCTGCCGTCTCATGAAAGGGTTCCTGAGATTACTTTAAGTGGAAAACTATCCTGGGTAAAACTGGTCTCTGATCACTTAGAGCAGCCATAAATTCCCAAGGTAAGCTGATCTGTGGACCTGCCTTATGTTTCTCTACAAGGTGACCCTGAGCAAAAGGTTAACCACCTGACCATTTAACTTTTATCCCTCCACTTCTGTAAACATGCCTGCTGGTTGTAGATGTCCAGAATTACCTTTCTGTGTATGTCACAACTGTGTTTTGACCTTAAAAACTCAAACCAACTGGAGGTCAAGTCTCCTTCCTGCTTATCTGCTTGGGACAGTCCCACTGGCCTCTAATAAAGACTCCATTTGACTTATTCAGCGCTAATGGAGTCTTTCTATGCAAGTACTCCATGACAACAGTAGGGTGTGGAAAGCTGCTGTGCAGACTGGAAGGAAAACAGCTCACACAAGGCTAGGAAGGACAAATTAAAATACTAAAAAAAAAAAGCTAAAGTAATCATCATTCATATTTGTTATAAATGTGACCGATTAAAATAAAACTTGCTTTCTAGTTGCTCTTTTCCGCTTTCCACTCTCTGCAAGTAAAAAGGACTCCCTTAAACTTCTGTTTTCTGGGGTTGTGTAGCTTTCAGAGCTAAAATCTTGCATCTGTAGTCAGAAGGGACTGCAGCTCACCGGCCTTTATTGGGACGTAGCAGATTCTAGGAGCACAGACCAAAACATTAACAGCCATATCTCACTACTGTGCAGGCTACCCTCAGAGAAAGTTTTATCGTGTACAAGATTCACTAGGAATAAAAATAACTGGGTAACTTTGAGTCTAGTTCTTTGTAGTTGTTCTCTGTGGCTCCTCTGTGTTCTTCATCCAGCCTCCCTGCCCCTCCTTGCTTAACTCCCCGATTTCAGAGCTTTCCTGAGCATCCCCCGCCCTGTTCCAAATGCCAACTGGGATTCCATAGCTTAATTCCATAGCATAATAACTGTCTAGCCTCCCTGGGTGTTCGAGTTAAGTAAGGAGACTGTTTGTCCTTCTCTGATTTCCTGGTCATCTCCCATGACTCCCTCTAACCTCAGCCTTTTGCCCTGTGCTCTGGATGCCATGACCTGCAGGCAACACTTGCAACTGAGGAGAACCCAGGACTGGGAGCCACCGATTGTATTTGGATTTCCAGTCTTGCTATGTATCAGCTGAGCATCAGCTGTAAGACAGACTATCTCTGTCTTACTTTTTTCATCTATAAAATGATGCTTGCCACAGGTTTGTGATCTTTTAAATGCCGCCATGATGTGGTTAAGATGAGAACTGGTCACCCTTGGGAAGCCTCGCTACTTTTCCAGGGAAGAGAGACAGGGTGGAGATGGGCTGGACCCTGAAGATTGCCATGGATCTCGGGGATTGCTTCCTGATTGTCATAGAAACGGACTGTTTAATAGGAAAAGGGAGTACAATAATACCTTGGCCGATTCTAGTTAAGCCACTGAGGTAAATACAACAAAACCAAGTTGTGAACGCTGTGTCACTTAAGTGAGCATGCTTGCTCTGGAGTCACAGCACTAGGGCAGGCTCCTGGGGACTAGATCCTCTTTCCAGTGAGACAGTGCCCACACCTGTTTTCTAGAGTGGTGTGCCAGAGCTGCACGGTTCCAACAAAGCCATCCACAAGGCTGAGGACCACATCATGATGAACTGTACCGACTGATAATTAGAAATCTAAGACCAGAGCTGGGGGGGGGGGACGCAATAGCTCAGCTGCTGAAGTGTTTGTTGGTCTTGCAAACACGAAGGCCTGAGTTTAATCCCCGGAGCCTGTGCAAAAATAAAGATAAACAAGCAGGAGAGTGTGGTGGTGTGCTCTTGTAATCCCAGAGCTGGGGAGGCAGAGACAGGCCAATCTCAGGCTCTCTCTGGCCTGGCAGCCTAGACCACATGGTAAGTTCAGGCCAGTGAGAGAGCCTGTCAGAAAAGAAAAGAAAACAAGATAAGATAATGACTGAGGAGCAGCTGAGATTGAGCCCTGGCCTCCGTGCACCAGCCTCTACACACACACACACACACACACACACACACACACACACACACACACA